ATATATTTTTTATTATTAAAATTATTAATTTATATAAATAATAAATTTTAATTGATATAATTATTTGATTATATAATAGTTAATAGTTTTTGTTTAAAGTTAAATAATTGCTAAATATATATTTAAAAACAATTAAATATATTATATATATTTTTTATTATTAAAATTATTAATTTATAAAAATAATAAATAAAAATAAATAAATAAAATAAGATACAAAAGTGCTAATCACATAAAATTTTTTAATAAAAAAATTATAGTATTTTTAAATGAAGAAAAAACTTTTAATTATTTCATCTTATTAATAAATTTTATTTATTAGCAATATATTTGAATTAAGAGAAATTGAGAATAAGGGAAAATTTTTTCTATTTGATTATTAAAAGAATTAAAAGGGATGAGAGGGGAAATTTTTCTTTTATTTTAATTTTTTAAATTTATTTATTTATCCAAATAAAGAAAAGTGAGGAAAGGGAATGGAGGTGAATGGAAAAATAGAATTTCCTTGCTTCATTCCCATTAACCCAAACATACAATAAGATTTTATTTTAAGTTTTTGGTTATAGGTTTCATAAATTTGCAATTCTAAATAAAAAACCCGTTTGCTTTATGTATTTTTGTAATATAATATTATAATTATTAGAGAAATAAGAATAAAAATGGTTTTAATGTTATTAAACAAATAAATATTTTAACTGTCAGTATTAAAATTTGTTCTAAACAAAATTTAACTTTTTAATTTTTAGTTTTAATTTTTGTTAGTTACAAAATTTATGAAAATCAAAATTAAAAACAAAAAACTACAATTATATTAAATAGAGCATAAGGCTTAGTTTGAAAGTGGTGGTCAATAGCTGTAACGGTTGGTTTTTTAGTTTTTTAACATTTTAAAAATATGTAAAATATATTTAGTATATTTAATATTTATTTTGATTAATATTTTATATATTTTTAAAATAAAAAATATATAAAAACTAAAAGTTAAAATATAAAGAAGTATCGTTAACATAAATCTAAGTTAATATAAATTTTTTTGATGATAAGTTAATATAAAAAATAAAAATATAATAATTACTTATTATTAAATAAAGAAGTTAAAACCAAATTAAATAATTAGTAATTAAAGACTATAATA